CTTTTTCTGCTAGCAACATGCTCAAACAACGTTCACACATTTCTGACTGTGACTCAGCTGAGTCAACTACACTAGACACTAGCCCCTAATCATTTACTAACCACTCTTTTGTATTCACTTTAAACCTGAACCTAACAGTCAATGGTGAACGTAGAAGCTGAGGACTCGTTCTGTAAAGTAAACAGACTGGGGGCTTGTTGTCTGGAGACTGGGGGCTAATCATCAGAGGCTAATCGTCTTTGAGGTGAGTTGTCCAGGTACCTTCCAAAGACTCCCTCTCTTTATCACCTAGATTATCAAGTGTCCCAAGTGATGCAATGCAATCCTCTGGGGGAACTGAGAGGTACCGAGGAAATTTTATTGTTGTTCAAGAATCTGTCTGGTCAAATCCATCAAATGCGATTCCAAATGTATATAAATAAATTTAAAAAACAAATATACAGGATAGCCCTACAGTGCAAGAGTACTGTTATTAAAGGGGTCCTGTTTAAAAATAAAAAATATAACCATAAAAATTAAAAATAAGGTAAAAATGACTTTGTCACTTATACTACTATAACTAGCGCGAACCTACCCTTAAACTACATTATACAAAAAAATTCATCTGCAGACTTTCTCCATCATAACCTGCAGCTAATCTGCTTAGTTTTTAAAGGTAAAGACTTAAAAGTTGAAGCACCTAAAACATGAAAACTTTTCTGAGCAAACTCAAGTTTTACCATGGGATAACAACAGTAACCCCACTGTTCCTCGTATTAAACTTGTGGATTAAAAAATTAAAATAATCCATACAAAGAGTACAAGCATTGCCTTGTAAGCAGTCAAAAACAAATAAGCAAGCTGTTGTCTTGAAAATGTTTTCTTTGAGGGTAAGCGAAGTTTGTAGTTTTGAAATTTGGAACTTGGCAGAATAGTCCTGTGACTCCGTTGTTCTAGGTTTCTGATCTGGCACCTGCATGTTTTTAACCAACTAAGTGTATTGGCCACAGTAAGTGAAAATAGGCATTATCATTGTTCTGTAGATTCATTTGCACTAAATGTGTCAGTGTTAGGATGGATTTACCATAATAAGTTCTCTCTTCCTGCTGCTTTCTTGTACATTATGTGAAAGTGCATATCAAGATTCAGTGAGGGGTCGGTAAGATCTTAGCTTGCAGAATGTATTCGATCATTAATTAGGGTGTCTCTTTTGCTTTGTTGCTGTTTCTTGTTATCTATCAGTGTTTTTTCAACGGTTAGTTAGCTCCTGTTGTTTTCCATATCACATACTTTCGTTCATTATTGTTTCTTTTGCAATTACTGGTGTCAATTACACTTTCAGTTAGTCGTTTTCACATGCATTAATTTTTAGTTTTTCATGCATATATAGACTTAGTTTTCTCTGTTCAGGGCTTTTTTTTGGTAGTTGCACAAGTCACAGTTTGCTTTTGAGCAGTTCCTTTATTCTTCATTTCGTCTTTGGACAGTGTTTTTCCCTCAAGCGCAGTTTTGCAGTAATTGTAACAATGTAAGTATTGTCATTTCAAGTTGGCTCAGTATATATCTTTCTTATCACATTACTTAATCAATTGTTGTAATTTTGTATATATTTATTTATCTTTAAAGTTTCAACACACATCATTTACCGCCAATACATCACCTTTTTTATCAGTAATTGTGGTGTTGAGAAGTTATGATTGCCGCAGTCACAGGGTCCACATGCACTCTATTGTAACTTGTTGTGGTGTTGATATGAGATTCATTCTCTCAGTGGCTCACTTCTTTGCCATCAAATCTGTTTGTTTTTGCTGTTCCAAACTGGATTTCTTCATTTTTCCCTTTTTAGATTGATTATTAGTTCGTTTTCTACATGCCAACTAGCAAGACTATTGATGTCTTTGCCTAGATTGAGCTGAATAGCATCCAAATCTTTTGAGTAACAAAGTGGCTTCTGTACGTCATTATAGTGAATTAAAAACAGTAGTGGCCCGAGAATGCTCCCTTGGGGAACACCTGTGAAAACAGGATTAGGTTCAGACAGCACTTCCTTCAATCGGATGACCTGCTTCCAAAGGAACAAGTAATCAGTAAACCACTTCAGTTCATTGTCCTGTATGCCATAGTGAGACAGTTTCTCAAAGAGGAAAAATGATGATGATGATGTCAAACACTTTGGAAAAGTCAATGAACACTGCTCTTGTTGCTTTACCACCATCTGCTTATTTCCACATTAATTCTGTAAAGAGAGTTACTGCCGATTCAGTTGAGCGATTAGATCAAAAGCCAAAATGACTTTCTTTTCAGTTTGTTGTTCATTGTCAGTATAAAAGTTGAAGAAACTGTTAGAGATGAACTTCTTATCAGTTGACTTCTTTCCATCTATCTGAAATGCTGATCCTTGCTCTGAGAGTAGCTTCATTGAGTACAGCTTTTTAATAGCAGCCCAGAATTTATCAGGAGAGTCAGCAGTTTCTCTTAGAATATCCTGACGATATCTGCTCTTGCATTTCTTATTATGGCTTGTCACACTGTTAAGGTGTCGCTTGTATGCAGATTAATCAAGTTCACAGTTAGTCCCACAAGCTTTTCTGAGTAAACCATCCCGTAAGGTGTATCTGCACTAGCAACAAAATTGTTTATTTGGAGAAATTTATGTCATTACCAACATTTTACAAGTGCAGATGGTTTAATGCGACTTGACAATTCTTTGCTGAAGCAGACATGCTTTCAAACACATTACTGACAAAATTTGTCTTGGGTAAAAGCTTGGCAAAATCTACTAAATAAACAAAACAGTGATAAACTAATCCATCATTTGTCATAAATGCTGGCATTAGTGTTGTAATTGAACTGGGTTCAGTTTACCAAAAGATTTCAGTAATTGTTCTTCGTTGTGAAACTCACAAATTTCACAATTTTAACTCAAGATGAATCCTGGTCATTATGGTGACCAGTCATATGAGCAGATTAGGTGCTGGAATGTGCCACCTTATGAAGATCAACAAGGAAACAATTTCATTCAGCCAGGGGCAACCTGCAGTGGTGGAGTAATTTTCCACTTGCCACTTTATCAGACTAATTATGAAGATGTAGATGTGGCCGCACAAGATCCAGAAGTGCCACTCAAACCAAAGGCAAAGGTAAAGGGAAATTGACCCATGACAAGTGGACAAACATGGAGCAGAGTTTCTTTGTCGACCTTTCTAGCATCTTGAAAGCAAAGACATGAGGAAGGTTTGGCAAGAGATATGTGAGGAGATCAAGTTGAATTTCAGCACAAAGAAAACTGTCAAATAATGCCAGAGGAAAAGAAAGTATTTTATGGTCAAATATGAGGATGCAAAGACTTGAAATCAAAGTCAAACAGAGGGTCACTTGCAAGAAACAGTCAGATTGTGCTACTACTAAAAAACTCCATAAAAACTATTGTAGTGAACCAATCAACAAATGAAAAAGGCACATGTAAAACGTTAAGTATCATGTATATTTTGATCAAAATTAATTATGCTTTTGATCATTAGAGTGCAAACATTGCAAGCATTCAATGCTATTTATGGTGCACACTTTTTGTGTGCACCATACATTTCTTAACAGCATTCTTGTAACTTTATGATAAATGATGCAGTATTCAGTGGACTCCCATACAGCTCAACTCCATATCATCAAGTTTTAGTGTTTCAATAGATATCCGAGTACACTAGTGCTAAGAACCATAATTTGTTGCTTGTCTATCTGCAGATCAAAAAGCATTTCAAAAGAAAGATGAATATCATTTTTCCATCTTCTATAAAGAACAACTCCACAAGGAAGAGCTCACAGGTCAATCTAAGTGAGGTTGGGGATGTATGGGAAGTTGAATTGCAATCTTGTGCTGAGTTTGAATCGAAATTGCACCTAACTTAAATAAATGGATCCAGCCAACTTGAAATGACAGTCAATTACTTAATACAATCACTTAGTTAACAGCAATATGTTGGTTACGATTGATCTGACTTGCAATCTGCAGATAAAAAGAGGTCTCTCTTTTCATTATTGTTTAAGCACTCAGGTAGCTGTGATTGTAATCTATCTTTATGATAACAAATTTATTTTCTGGGTGATAGTATATTTGTAGGCAAAATTCATCGAAATAAATCAATCTGTAAATTTAAATTTCTAATAGCTCAGTATCTTGATGAGTTTCCTTCTAGTAGACCACAGTCCACTACAGACAAGATGGGAATTTAAGCCAAGATATCATGAATTGCCTTTCTCTAAGAAGCACTCCAGCACACAGCTTTAATTGAATGTATTTATCTTTTGATTCTTGCACACTAAAATTATGGCTTACTGTAGGATTATTTCATATTCAACGTTTCACTTATTGAGTTTACAAACTTCTCACCAAACACTGTTATTACTTTAAACAATAAGCTATGGATAATAACTGAAACTCTAGGTTTCTAGAAATTTTGAGAAATTTCTGTTATTACTTTAAACGATAAGCTATGGATAATAACTGAAACTAGAGGTTTCTAGAAATTTCGAGAATGCCTTGTCATGCGGAAATGCATACCAAGGGACTTTCTGGAGTATTTTACCAGGTTATGTAGTTATGATCTAACACTACCAATATAGTTGTGTTGTAAGCATCCGAAATTTTCGAGAATACTTTGTACATAAGGACACAGTCGTGCAGCAGTAGTACTTGTTGTTGGGAGGGACTGACTTTTCAGAAAGCTATACCAAGAGAGCCACCATGAAAGACTCTCAAGTTACTTTTGAGACGACTTCGAGATTGTGTCAGTGGTGAGCTAAGAAGTAGTTTGTGGTGGGCTTCAATCAGTTTACAGAGGCAGTATTACATGACATTCTTAATGAACATGGTGTTCACCTGCTTTTCCAGTTATTTACTAGTATTGAGCAGGTTTTTTGTTGTTGTTCTGCAAAGGTGAATTACTCTCCCCATCTAAACACTGAAAGAGTGCGAGTTTTGCTTTCACCAAGTAAAGTGCTATCTGACAACACCAGTGTGGAATAAAATGTCAGCCGATGTTGTTGAATATTTGGAGTCTGAGAAATTATGCAAACCTAGTATGTATACAAGTGAACTTCAACAGCGTTTGTTATTAGATGGAGTTTCTCCTCCTGGTCAATTACCATCCCCGTCTGCAATAAAAAAGTGCATTCGGGAAGACTGCAGAATGACAAAGAAAAAGGTTTCCCAAGTGCCTAAAGAATCATTGTCACAAGAAAATACTGAATATACCGATTTTTATCTTGATCAAATTGCACATCACAACTATACAAAACTTCAATTTTTTGACGAATGTAGTGTAATTGTAACTTCGGGAAATCGCGTGTATGGCAATTCCTACATCGGTGAACCAGCGATTGAAATTCAGCGATATGCATCGAACGCTAATAATACACTCAACTTGCTTCACTCTGCAAACGGAGTGGATTACTTTGATGTTTTGAGAGGCCCATCTAATGGCATGGAGCTGCTGAATTTCTTCAATGAAGCTCTGTCAATAAAGAGGGTAGATGGTTCAACAATTCTAAAGAGAATGGCGATGTAGTCATAATGGAAAACTGCGGGTTCCATCACGGACATTTTACAGAGGCAGTATTACATGACATTCTTAATGAACATGGTGTTCACCTGCTTTTCCAGCCCGCTTACTCTCCCCATCTAAACACTTGCGAGTTTTGCTTTCACCAAGTAAAGTGCTATCTGAAACAAAATTCATCTTTAACTGCTGATGAAACTGAAATAGCGATAGGCGAAGCTGTGTCAAAGATAAGCCCAGCAAATTCTATCGCATACTTTCGAAAATGCGGCTACATCTGATTGACAACTAAGTTATCATGCCACTGCTATTTTTATCAGCCAGTTTTCCTTCACAACAACAAAAAAAATCGCCTGCTACTAAACTGTAAAAAATGTTTTCAAGCTCAATTAGCAAAATTGACTGCCTTTTTATCTCCCAAAGAAGACTTTATTGAATAGAAAATGTGTAGACTACATGTGATTGGCAGCTGTTACCTTGCACTCTATTTTTATCTTACCTGTGAGAATAAACAAACTCGGGCTTGCTTCTGAATTAAAAGCGTAAATTGACAAGTACGCTCTATAAAATACAATCTCTATTGAATGAAAAGTGATATAATTCAAACTAATTCTTACTTTTACAATAAGAAGAAAACTATATTTTTCACAACGCAAACTATAAAATCGTAGTACACAAACTGAGACTAGGCTCATGTCAATAAGTGGATTTCAAGCCGGTATGAAATTCAAAAACACAACAACCCGAATAATAAAAATGCAACATAAAGAACAAATCAAATGCAGTGTACTGTAGCCATTAGTATAGAATGAATAAAATACACCTGTTACAGTTTCATGCGTTTCAGTTCATTGTACCCTCAGAGGGTCAACGATTCCGTGTTTGTACTCTTCGATAATACTTGGCAATCTCCAATCGTATGTTTCCTCTAATGGAACTTTATTTCGCAGTGCTCGCTGGAGAATCATCAAGTCTCTATCCAAGGCAGAACGATCCAAGTACGTTGCGGCATTTTGCTTCCTTAAACGGGGTCGCATGATGGCAAAAAAACTTGACTTAGCTCGCTGGTGGGAAGAGATAAATACTTCATGGTCGCTTTTAACTTTCGAATACTTCTGTTCAAGTTCTTTCAGTTCACGCTGTAAATTGCAAATTTTGGCCAATAATTCCGGGTGCCCTTCTTTTATCTTGCAAATGTTGACATCGTTAGAAGGCATTTGCGTGCATTTCGCTCTGTTGTGACCCGACGAATGGCAGACAGCGCATACTTTTCCATGTGAAACTTTCGGGAAGTCTTCCAAGGCTTTCTGTTTACCTTGAATGTGATTTTTGGCACTTTCAACTTGCAATTCCAGTAGCTTGAGATTTTCTGAAAGTTCTCAAGCTCTTCGGTCCAATGGACTTTGAAAAGTTTCAGAGCTTTGATTTGAAGGGGTCGCGATCGCTTCAAAACCAAAATTGGTTGCAGCCTGAGGTGACTGCTGCTGCGGAGTTGTATCCACCGATCGTTCAACGCTGCTTTCACATGCTGTCATATTTAGTCATTTTGGCTCATGGTGGTTGGGCCGACGAGCAGTTTCTGTTTTGATGTTCTTCAGCTCGGCTTCCAATAAACGTCTTTCTGCCAGCAACAGCTTATCAGGAGATGGGAAAAACGAGTCCAAATCCTCTGATTTCACGTAAGCCAGTGATCTTCTTGAGGGAAATCCTGTTTTCAAACTCAGGCAAAAGTCGTTCAAGTTTCATGGATGGTGATAATGATTTAAGCCAGATATACACTTCGCTTTTTTCAGCCATGATCTCGATCTCCCACCGAAATAGCGACAAAAAGAAATAAATGTACGAGCCTCGTTACGAAGCTACTTCATGATTGGATGATGCCAAAAAGGCGGGAAAAAAGTCTAAGCGTTCATGGTTCGAGTGCTCTAACTGTAAGAGTCGCTCCTTGGCAAGAATATTACAAGTTGTTTAATAAATTAATTGGGTCTGTTGATAAATGATGCTCGTTTTGTCTATTGAATTGTGCCGCAACAAACAATACTAATAGTCTTCACAGCTAACGCTGACATTCAAAGTTGTTGCTTAAAGGACAAAACAAACTTTTAAAAATTAGTAACAATATATGAGCATTACCAATGGGATAACCATATATTTTGTTTGTTTGTCCTTCAGTAGTGGAGAAGAAAGGGCATAAACCTTCTGTGCTGACCTCAATATTTTCCCAATACCATGCCCTTGGAAAATAAGAGTCTTTGTTTAAGGTAAACGTTTCTCATGTTCTCCTAATATAGCATTTTGAACAAGGAAATGTATCTGCAAAGGGGAATGAGTTGGTAAACAAGGTACAACTGATGGACAAAGATTTGTAACTGAACAGCAATCCCTAATCATCAAATCAACCATTGGACATGAGCTTTATCTTGCGCTCATCATGTAATCATTTGGTAGTGTGCTTTGTATGCACATTGGCAATTCCCCTTTTTTTTTAACTGAAATTGGATCCAGTTGACTCTTTCCTTTAGTGAAAACAGGGATTGCTAATTTAGCTTGATGAGGGGCTAGGCTCTCTTTGATAGTAAATTGGATATCAGCCATTACAAGGTCACCTGGACGTTAAGTCTCAATTTGATCACAACAAGCACAAACCCTCGAAGTAAAGTCAGTGTTTTTTACCTTCTTGTAACATGTGGAGAAACAAACTCAAGAACATACTTCAAGATATCTAAACCTGGTAATTGGTTATAAAATATTATCTAGTCATGGTGGTCTCAGTTTGAGTATCTTGGTCAAGTGAGATTGAAGGCGAGGAGATTTCTTCTTCTATGTTTAACTGTTGTAGGCTGCCATCTTGGTTCGCTTCATCTCTCTGACTGAAGTTGTAATTGCTTTTGGTTTCATCAAAAATTTCCTGGGCAGTCTCAGACAGTCTCCCACAATTTCTTTTTCATCCAATGGCACCAGATAGTTGCAGTTATGTCACCAGTAAGAAAGAATTAAGACTTACATGAGACTTACCTGTAAGTTGACATTTGATTGGAATTCTACAAGTCAATGGTCAGGGGCTAGGAAGTCATGTGAGATAGAGCACGGGAACCTGAGTAATCAGTCTTTAAATCCTGTGGGTGGACATATTCCCAAAACACAGTAATAGTTGGAGGGTGACAATATTAGGTCCACTTTTGGTAACTGCAGTAGGGTGGGTGTGAATTCCTAGCTCCTGACCAATGACCACAGAATTCCAATCAAACTTCAGCTTACAGGTAAGTCTTGTATAACTCTTAATTCTATTTGGTCATTGGTCTGAGTCACTAGTAAGTCACCTGATACTTTAAAGTAATGTAGACACAAAAAGATAGTAATAGCATTGGTATTAATGGGTGTGTTACCTGATTTTGCAGCCAAGGTGGAAGCAGCTCAGGTACTATGTACACCAAAAATCTTGGTGTTAATACCAGCTGTCTCTAAGACATTCTTTACCCAGCGACTTATGGTGTATTGATTTACAGGGTTAAAAGGTTTACAATAACTTAACCACAAGGCATTATGTCCAGCTCTCACTGACTCTGAGTCATCAGAGCTTTTCATACTACTAACAGTAAGGGCATGGACAGGTTGACATTGCTGGCCAGAGAGCAGGGTAGCTAACATGACAGTCCTGAGTGTTGTGTTCCTGAGGTCAAACTTCTCAAGTGGGGATAAAGTTTGCAAGTAGTCCAGAACTATAAAAACATCCCATCTGTCTCTGTATCTTGGCAGCGATGGTCTTGTTTCAAAGACACCTTTCATGAATCAGATAGTCAGGGGGCGATTTCCAAATGAACCAGCATCAGGAAATAAGTTAATTATAGACAGAGCACTCCTGGCTGTGTAAATTGCACTGTATGACAAACCACTGGCAAATTGGTCATGAAGAAACTCCTGCCCATCCTCTAAAAAGGGGATTGATATTCCTTGAACTGCATGATGTTTGCCATATATTGCTCTTGGTAACAGCCTAGTTTTAAAACTTTACCTTAAATTTAAAAACACAACAAAATTTACCAGGTAAATCATCTTCGACTGAGCTTTTTCCATTGTCATCACATATAAAACAGTTCAATTCACCTTTCATTTTAATGTAAATGGGTCCTTGCTTACAGAGCAACTTCACTTGTTTGTACATGTATTCACAACTAACAGGTGTGCTTAACTTTTGCTATTTTGCAGGAAGAAACACAAAATCTCTGTTGCCAATTAACCAACATTTTTTTGTCTGATCGCATCACCAATTTTGGACTAAATTAACAAATCCTTGAAGTAAGATATTGTTGTAGTTAATTAACAAATTTTGTTCTTTGTTGTCATCTCCCGTGTGCATAAAGGCAAATTCAAACAGTTTAAATTGTTCTGGAGTTATTTTTTGTTTCTTTCCTCTGTTACTGGTAGGAACGGACAGTGATACTGATCGAAGTTGCTCCCATTGACTCAAGCAACAACACAATCCTCTACTTTGACTTCTTTATAACATAGATCAAGCTTGCTTGACGGCTAGAAACTTTTCTCATTGAAATTTAGTTATTTTCAGATACAACTTGAGTGACTGAGTCCAGAATTTTCGTATTTGACCTTGAACTAGTACTTGTTAACACTTGGGAAACGTGTCTCGAGCACTCACCCAATAAATTGGCAAGTTTTTGAAGAAGTTGCCCCATTTTGTCAGTTGAACATGGCAGGAGAAGCTTTTGGAAACAGATTCCTGGATGTATGATCTAAGATGCTTTGCATATAGTCGAAATTGAATTGAATTTTAATTTCATTACATTACCTTGAATTTTATTGAATTTAAAATTGAAGTTTGGTATTGAATATTGCCACAATTGGCTTGCCATAGAAATCTCCACTGAATTTTCTTTGAAAAGGAAAAACTTTAATAGGTACTCACCAAGGGGCTTTTCAGCATCTATATACATAACTTCATCAGATCAATAATATCAAAAACTAATGACTATTTACATTAATATCACTAATTA